AGCTAACGCCGCGCCCCCCGCGGCGTTAGCTGCCCCGGCCCCCGGGCCGGGCAGTGGCAGCACAGGGCCCCGAGTCTACTTCCAGAGTCCCCCTGGGGCCGCAGGCGAAGGCCCAGGGGGCGCGGATGACGATGGCCCCGTGAGACGGCAAGGGAAGGTCACCGTCAAGTACGACCGCAAGGAGCTACGGAAGCGCCTCAACCTGGAGGAGTGGATTTTAGAACAGCTCACGCGACTCTACGACTGCCAGGTGTGCTCCCCACCCCGCGCGGATACCCTAAAATCGGACCTAAGTCGGTCTGTCACCAGAGTCAGTAGAAGCTCTGCTGCTAAGCCACCGGTCTTAACACTCGCCGCTCCCAGTGTGCGCTTTTTCTTGCCTGACCTAAGTCACTCTAGCTTTCTCCGCTGCCTGGGACCTTGCGTCTTTCGTGGTACTGCCCCAGGCTTAGTGTTCTCCCCAAGCCTAGAAGAAATATATAGCCTGACCTGGGACTGGAGGCAGGGGTCTACCTTGGGCTGACAGTGAGAGGTCTAATCTAGTCTAGTCTGGGCTAGCCAGCATCCACACTACTTGAAAGGTACTAGTGTAAGTGTTTCAAGTGTTACAAAGGATCTGAGTAGTTTTAGTGGGCTAGCCTGCCATTCTGTCTATCCGTGGAGACAGGTTAACCAGCTCTCCCGGCTCTGGTTCTCCACCTCCTGTTCCTTGCTTGTTCATTTGGTGACTCAGGCCCCCAGGGGTAGGGTGGAGGAGTGGGCCTGCCCAGTGATGCCTACCCTAGTCCAGCCCTGGAATGCAGCTGGCTCCAAGTGTGATAGCTGTACCCTTGGGAAAGGGGATGTACCCCTTTCTCCTCAAAGCATGGGCTCTTTGTTTCCCCTTTATCAAGCATGGGTCTTTCACACTGACCCCTAACCCTCACTTCCTCCTTCCTCCCAGGAAGCTGTGACAGGTGTTTGGGGGAGGGGAGGGGCTGTGATGAATTGGGACAGCTGGCCCCACCAGGACTCTGGTGAGCTAGAGGTCCCGGATGCTGAGAAGGCACATCTGCTAGGTTCTAAGCCCAAGGTCCCCAGCCCTGTCTGTCTGGCGCCCCTGGTGCCCACTGGCAGGGACAGGAAGTTCCCCCTCATTGGGCAATTTGCCTTGGCACAGACCTGATCTGTTTTCCTTCCCAGAGCAGCTGTCTTTGCTGGGCAAGAAGGGCTGGTCTGGTTTTGAGTTAGGCAGGGAGTCCTTCCACACCCTCTCCTGGCTGAGGCACTTGTCTGCTTCTTCCCACCCCTGCCCCAGGAGGAGGAGATCCCAGAGCTCGAGATAGATGTGGATGAACTCTTGGACATGGAAAGTGATGATACCCGGGCTGCTAGAGTCAAGGTAAGCTGAGGTCATCCAGTGAGGGCTGTCTGGAGACACTGCCCCTTGGGGAGGCTTGGCCCTAGTGCCATACCTTCTTTGGTTTGGGTCATCTGCCTCTGGAAAAATGAGCCTCGTGGAACTTAACTTAGCTATGTTCCCAAGTGGCCTTAGTCTCTGGGGAGGGTGTAAGTCAACAGTGAGCCCCTGTCTCGGGAATTCACTTCATGCTGTGTTCTCCCTTACCAGGAGCTGTTAGTTGACTGTTACAAACCCACGGAGGTAAGTCATTTTCCTTGACCTTAGGGTGTGTATGCATGTGTGGCAGCTTATCGTCTGGATCCTGGCCTCTCTAACGGCTCCCTCCTATCTAGGCCTTCATCTCTGGCCTGCTGGACAAGATCCGGGGGATGCAGAAGCTGAGCACACCCCAGAAGAAGTAAGGGTCCTGACTCAGATGACCGAGGCTCCCACAGGACAATCGCTGCCCCCCAACCTCGTAGCAACAGCAATACTGGGGGACCCTGCAGCCAGGCCTGGTGCCACGAGCAGGGATCCCCGTGCCCCTGCCCAGGGGACATTTCCCTTGCCCTCAGTTTTCCACTTTTGGGGTTTTTTATTGTTATTAAACTGACGGGACTTTTTGTGTTTTTATATTGACTCTGCGGCGCAGGCCCTTTAAAAATAAAGCTAGGATACAGCCTTTGGAGCAGCTAACAGGCTTGGCTGGTCTTTTACGGGGACACACTGCTCTACAATTGTCACCAGCTCAGCTACTCCCCAGGTGATCCTAGGCCTTCTTGGAGGCCATGTAGCCATGGTGATGACCCATGCTGACTCCCAGATCACTGTGCCAAGTGGCTGGGGAACAGCATTGCTAGCGACAGTCTCAGAGTTTTTTATCCTCACTGGGTAAGGGTCTCTAGGCTGTTGAGGCTAGACCTCAAGGCTCCACAACTATCAGGGAAGGAAAAATGAGATTGAAGCTGGTTTTGTTTTCCCTCCCCCAATGCTGCAGATCCAACTTAGGGATCCATTCGCATTAGACCAGTGCCCTACTCCAACACTGATGCTAAGGTATTACTTTCAATCTCAGGATCCACAAAGAAACACAGACTCACACTTGGGGTTTTAAAGGTTTTTTGTTTGTTTTTAAACAGTCTGGTCCCTGATAGGGCCTCCGACACCCCCCCCCCCCCCGCGCCGCAAACTTTTTGAAAGGTCTCTCAATCTTGAGCAGCTCCACCTCAAACACCAGGGTTGCTCCGCCTGGGGGGAGAAGTGTGATTAGGCTGGGATCTGGGACTCTGGGAGAACGATGGCTGAGGGTGTTAAGGGTATTACCTGGGATCTTTGGGGGGGCTCCCCGCTCTCCATACCCTGTCAAAAAACACAGAGACACAGAGTAAGTTGTGGTCACACATAAAGGACCCAGCTGCTGAACACAGCCAGGCTTGGAAGTGGCATATATGCTACAGTGACTAGATGGAGAGAGGACAGGGAAGCTGGAGTGGCTGTAACTCATCCCTAGGCACACCTAAGCCCTGCTGCCGGACCCTGAGGGCCTCTTACCCAGCTCAGACGGGATCACCAGCTTGCGCTTCTCCCCTTCACACATCCTGCAAGATGAGGCATGCTCAGCGGGGGAGGCATCCAAAGCCCTGGCCCACAGCTGGGCCTTTCCTCCCACAGCTCACGTCCTGGATCTACAACCTGTACCCCAGACCAGACTCACCCCAGCAGCCCCTGGTCCCAGCCCTTGATGACCTGACCAGTGCCAAGGGAGAAAACAAAGGGCTGGTTCTGTGGTAGGCTGCTGTCAAACTCCGTCCCATCTTCTAGCTTTCCCTGTGAGAGCATGGGAAAACTAGTAAGGAAGAGGTGACCATTCCACAGGTCTTCCACCCAGCTATTCATCCCATTAAGGTGGTCACCACAGCACTGATGGTCACATTTCTTAAAAGGGTCAATGCTTTGGGTAGCTCATGTATGGTAATTTGCATGCTGATACCTAGCTGATGAGTAAACTGAAAAGCAAGATAAAATCATGGAAAGGAGCTTAGTTCAAAGGGGTGATGTGTTCAAGGTTATCTACCTAGTTGGGAAAAAAAAATGGGATTCCAAAGTCCTTTCTGGTCCTGAAAAACTGTCAAAGCCCCAGAGGCTCTTCCACTCTGACACTTACCGTGTAGTGCATGTGTAAGACATCTCCCTTTCTAGACTTGATGGGACAGTGATCCACACGTTTCTTCACTCCAATCTGCAGCTTCCGTTTGCCTTCGGCCCCTGTGGCTGTGGCCAGGGCACTCAGGCAAATGGGCAGTATTGTCAGGGTCCAGCTCAGCCTCATGTCTCTGTAGGCACAGGCCACCCCACCCCCAACCAAAAAACTGGGGGGTGGGGTCATGGAACTTAAGTCTATATCAGGAGGATGCCAACTCCCCATTATATCTTGCCTGTTTCTAGGGAATACCACTGTCCTGGGCCACCACCCGCTCCCCTGGGCTCTGTGGCCATACTTACCAGTCCAGTGAGAAGGGGACTTGGCCGAGGACCCCAGCAGCGAGGGGAGGGGGTCAGGGGAGGCCACAGCAGCCAGTGCCCCCTCCCTTTGCTCACTACTTGACCTTCTCTCTCTCCCGGTCCCCATCTCCGTTCTTCACTTCCCGCTAGCCCCTTTACGCAAAGTCCAAACCCTATCTGATTGCACCGGATTTGTCCCAACGGGACGACCCCACTCCCGCCACACCCAGCTGCTCCCTGTCCAGCACACCCACACATCTGCAGCCACTGCAGGTGGCCGGCCCCGAGGCACCCACACATCTCCACTAGGTGGCTCTGAGGAACCCCGGTCCTCCGGAGGCACCCCCCAGTCCGGCCCCGTGCCTCCTCCACCAGGGGCACCTCCCCAACTCTGAGCTCTTGGGGGCCTCCGGGGAACCCAGACTGGCTCAGAGTCAGCGGGGCGCCGAGCCCGCTCCACCCACACAACCTCTCCAGGGGGAGTTCTCGGTCTCCCGCGACCCCAGGCACGGCCACCACGGAGACCGCCCCCGCGTGGGCGCCCCGGGCCATAGCTCACGATTAGCTCTCCACAAGGCTCCTTGGCCCCACCCTTTACGGCGTGCAGCTCCGCCCCCTGACCTGCAGCTCCGCCCTCGGCAATGTTAGACCTAGTCTCCTGCAGAGGGGCCACGCCACTCACGGGCTGAAGTCCCACCCCCAACGCCTGGGATCTAACGCCCTCTGGCTCCGAGCCCAAGGCTCCACCTTCCACCTGCTCCAGCTCCTCCTCTAAAACCCAAACCCCGCCCCCCACACCTCCTAATCCAGCTATGGGGCACTGGGTTCTGCCCTCAACCCGCACTGGCTCCGTTGTCCCTCCCACCGCTGTTTCGCGTCCCTCCCCGAGCCCCAGAGCTCCGCCCCGTACAGCGTGAGAGCCCGCCCCCTGCGGCATTGCCAGACGCCAGACCCCAGCCCCAATTCCCTCGTTTGCTGTCCCTGGCTGGCACGTGGACTCCGGCCCGCTTCAGGCAGGCTTGCCCCGGGCTGCCCTCCTGCACCCGGATTCCCCAGCCTGGGCTGTGGCCCCCCGCTCACCTCCTCGCCGCGCCCCCGGAGCCAATCCCGCTCGTGCTGTCACTTCTGCGCAGGCGCGTCTTTGTCGCTACAGGGCGGGACACGCTGCCCGCCCTCATTGGACCGTCCAAAACCCGCTGCGGCACTTTCAGGGCGGGGCTTCTCATTTGGCCCTCCCTCCTTAGTGATTGCTTGATAACGTCACTTCCGGGGTTTAAATCGCAGGTCCAGTTTGGCAAGAATTGTTTCTGAAAGACAGAAGGCAGTACCAGCCAAGGTGACATGGTCAAGCAAGTATGAGTGCACGTGCCAGGAGAGGTTCTTGCCAGCATGGTGCTGATTTCTGTTATCATGACCGACACGCCTTTGGGTAGTTGTAGTGGGAAGAGCCTAGGGTTCGGTTCGGAGCGACAACCGGGATTTGAATCTCAGTTCTTTCATTTCTTGCCTGGCTGCGTGACCTTGAGTAAGTTCGATCTCTTGGTGGGTGTGCTTTATGACAACCACACCACATGGCCCTGTGCTGTGTGGACCCCTTCCATCTTGTCTGCAGCATCCAGGCTCGTCTTTGGCTGAACAAATGTCTCCTGGGCCAGGTCTATCGGTGCCCAGAAAACATTCTCTAACCTAAAGATCCTGAAATTTGGAGGAAGGCAAACCTAAGTTAGGCTATGGAGTCGAGTGATTTCATACCTGTCTTAGGCCAGTTTACCTTGCTAAGACCATTTATTCAGATGACAAAGGAAGATAGTCGTGGTGTTGATGCTAAGAGACGCATACTGCATGTCTGATGAAGCTTCGTGGGTTCCTACTCCTTAGCTCTCAGGTTCTCACCATCATCGAGCCAGAACATGATCACCAATATCACTGCTGAGAAAGCTGTTTAAACATAATAAACATGCTGTGTGTTGTCTCGTGCCTGTAATGTCAACACTTTGGAGGTGGAGGTGGGAGGATCAGAAGTTCAAGGACATCCCCAGCTACATAAAGAATTCTGAGCTAGCCTGGGATACAGGAGACATTGCCTTTAAAAGTTGAAAAACAGCATCAGGGCTGAAGATGGCAGTAAATCATTAGTATTTGCAGCGCATTCATGAAGTCGGGTTTGATCCCCAGCAGTGCACAAACCAGGTGTGGTGGGACAAACCTAAAACTCTAGTACTTGAGAGGTGGGTGCAAGAAGATTAGAAATCTGTCACCCTCAGATACATAAGGACTTTGAGGCCCCACTGGGCTACATGAGACTCACTAATGGGTAAGGATGTAATGATCATCATCATGAGGAATTCTTTAGTTTACCCTACTCCTGCTTTGGTACCACCAAGATCATCACCATCCCCTCAGTATCAGTCTCTTCATTAGGGTGGCTACTTTCAGTCAATTCTGCCTCTGAATGTTCTATAGCAGACCAAACCTCCCACTCTATCCAGGAGACTGGAGACGGGTGGACACTGAGCATGGACAGAGTAGGTAGGAATCTCAAGCAGCAGCTGATGAATCCTGGGATACCAGGGATTGTGAAGGTGGAGAGGACTACGGCTGTGTTTCTTTAGAAAGGCCTTCCAGCCATATGAAGGCCAGATTGAGGCATGAAAAGGGCAGCCAGAAGGAACAATATTGCACACTCAACAGGGGAAATGGGTGATACCTCCTATTGTATGAAACAAGTCACACTGGTTCAGAGCCAAAAGGGTTCCAATGGTGCCACTTATCTGTTCCTGCCATGTGAACAGGGGAAGCAGCTCTAACCATCTGGGTCTCTCCTTAATTTCTCGCCAGGGCAGGCAGAACCCTGTGAGCAGGAGGCAGAGACTTTATATACCGAGGACTTTATCAATCTGTGGTTGTGGTTTTAACTGCTGTCTGGCCTTGGGCACACAGGCAGTTAGACAGGAGGCAGAACTGAGATGCAGTGTTGCACGCTGGTCAGCTCGGAGAGCAGCAAACAATGACAGAAGCAGCGATAGTGTCTTCCATCTCTTTTATCAGAATGTGTGTGTGTATCACAGTTATCATAACAGAACCCAAATCCCATTACTGGTAGAAGTTTGGGGTCTTCATAGTGAGGGGAGACAGCCAGCTAGAAGATGCTCACTTGACCAGGGTGGTTAACTGAGATAGCACCCTGGCCCCTAAGGTGAGACATGAGGCTCCTTGACAATTGTTAGATGGCAGCTCTAGGAGATGAAAGACGGCAAGAGAGCTCTCTAAACGGTCCGAGTCCTGGGGCAGCTGTGCTCCCAGACAGAGGTGGTTCTCCTATGCTCCACTCTTCTCTCTGTGAAGAAGGGCCTGTGAGGCAAACAGGCCTGTGGAGTCTGAAGAGCAGCTTGTCACTTTCGCAGCTTCCGGCACCTGGGGAGTGGAGGAAGGGCATCAGTGCTGGCTGGAGCTCAGCCCCAAGCTCCTCTTGTGTATATATTCATTTTTAGGTTTTAAATGTTGTTAAATGGGCTGGAGAGATGGCTCAGTGGTGAAGCACTCTGGCTGCTTTTCCAGAGGACTCAGGTTCAGTTCCTAGCACCCACATGGCAGCTCACAACTGCCTATAGCCTGATTTCAGAGGATCTGACCCCCTCACACAGACATACAGGTAAAACACCAATGTATTTTTGCCTGCATATGAAATAAATAACTTTTTTTTAATTGTGGGAAAGAGACTGGCCTGCGCTCATGGGCATGTGCATGTGTGTGCTTGTATGTGCATTTTATGTACTTGTGACTTAATCATCCTCCATCTTTATCCTTTTTTTGCCGGGCATAAGGAGGCAAAGGCAGGCAGATAGATCTCTGTGAGTTTGAGGCCAGGCTGGTCTACATAGTGAGTGCCAGGACAGCCAGGGCCATGTAGAGGGTCACTGTCTCAAAAACAAAACCAACTAACCAAAAGTGTATTTTACTATTTTTATTTAGGTGTGTGTATGTCTGAGTGTATAAGCACATGTATAGAGATGCCTGACTAGGCCAGAGGAGAGTGTCTGATCACTGCAGCTGATGTGGCAGCCCTCAACCAAGTGAGTTCTGAGATCTACACTCAGTCTTCACAGAGCAGCGGCCGCAGTGAGCTGGCTTACACCACCTCTCTCCACCTTTATCTCTTGAGACCGAGTCACTACGTGTGAAGCTGACTGATTCTGCTTCCATGGTTGGCCAACAGACTCCAGGGTTCCTTTTGTCCCTCCCTGCTCTTCCAATACTAGGTTATAATACATCACTCCTACACAGTCTTCGTGCTTGAATAGTAGATACTCTACCAGCCAAGCCATTTCTCCAGCCCCTATTTACCTATTTACCAGTGATACCCTTTATATTCAGTATAAGCATGCATGTATGTGCACTACATGTATGACTTGTCTCTGTAGAAGCCAGAGGAAGACATTGGATATCCTGGAACTAGAGTTATGAGTGGTTATGAGCCACCACGTGGGTGGCAGAAACCAAACCTGGATCCTCTGCAAGGGCAGGAAGTGCTCTTAACCACTGAGCCATCCCTCCAGCCCCTATTTACTCTCTGTGTGACAAACTCACTATGTCACTAAGGAATGACCTTGACCTTTTGAGTGCACTTGGTGATGATCAAACTGAGGGTTTCTTGGATGCTAGGTAAGCGCTCTACCAACTGAGCTACGTCCCCAGTGCCTCTTTATCCTCATTGTTTGTGGAGACCACTTTATCCTCCTGCCTCTGCCTCCCGAGTGCTAGAATTACAGGTGTGCACCACCATCCCCAAACCAGCACTTACTCTTTGTCTTCTGTGAGATTTTGCTTTCTAAAAAAGCTTTCATGAGAATGACCTTGAACTCCTGATCTTCCTGCTTCCAACTGAGTGCCAAGACTCCCCGAATGTACCACCATGTTCAGTCCCAGCCCTCTTGATGCATTTTCTTTTTTGAGCCCCATTTTATTCGGATACTCTCTGGAAGCCTCCAGGGCCTGACCTGTAAATGATCCCATGGTCTCACTATAGAGCACAGAAGGGCTACATGAGCACTCCAGGCAGAGGCATAAGGGGCTCTCATACACCTTTACTTGCTCTCTCAGGTCTCCAGAATGGAGCAAATATCTATCACATAAAGCTTTGCAAATTAGAAAAAGTCTTCTTTATTTCCATTCCAGGAGGTGGCTGATTGCTTAGATTAGATGGATGCCCCCATTACACTGCCTAGCATCCTCTACTGGTGCTGGGATCATCCCTCCCACCGTCTGACTTGTGCATCTAGTCTTGAGCTGAGTTTTAATAATCTGGTTGCCAGCAGATGCACAGTAAATGATTTAACCCATGCACCTGGCTCCTCCTTCCCTGGTCTTTCCATCACTGGCAGGCTTATCTGGACCTGCTCCAGGACACACAACCTTGCTGCCTTCCACACAAGGGCCACAGACTCCTCACCTGCAGGTGTCTGGGTTGAGCTCTAAGCCCCGCCCTTGGCAATGGAGGAAGCGGCGGCGTCTACAGCGGCAGCGGCAGGTCCGGGGGTCAGGGCGCTGACGGCGCTGGGTGCAGGGTGGGCAGAGGGTCCTGGGGCTGGGGTGGGATGGATGATGTCAGCTGGGGAGGATGCTCCCGGGGCAGAGTCCCAGCCCGGAACAGAGCGGGGCTGGGGACGGTGGTGGGGTATGGCAACCCTAGGAGGAGAAGCAACATGTCTAGGGTAGGAAGAGTCTTCCCGGGAGCTAGGGTTAGGGCAGAGTGCGTGGATTTGGGGAGTATAAAAGGGAAGGGGAGTCAGATGAGAGGAGCAGGCTGCAGCCTCCTGGCTCACTTGTGCACCCCCTAACCCACCCGTGAGCACTTCTCCTGGACCAGCACCAAGAATCCCATGAACTCACCTGTCTGCCTTCACAGCACTCTCCTTTTTTTTTGGTCTGAAAAATGAGGGGGGTGGGGTGGGAGAAAGATTAAAGACACCCAGGCCTCCCGCTCTCTTGCCCCAGACCCATGCCTACTTCTGGCTCTACTCTCAGTCACCTGGCCCCTACTAAGTAAGGGACAATCCCATGCCTGATATGCCCACCCCATGTACACTTTGTGAACTTGGGACTTGGACCTGGCTGGCACCTGCATTCACATTGGCTGTGTTCTTCCAGGGACATCTCCCCCAGCTGACTGCTCGGGTACTGGATCATGAGGATCTGTACTCAGGAGAATGAGGAAGAGACAGTGAGGCGGGGCAGTAGAAAGACAGAAAAAGCTGATACTAGATAGGCTAGAGACAGAATGGCCAGAACCTCCCGCCTCCTGCGTGCCCGTCTCTGGGTTGACCCAGCCCCGAGGGCATCACTGTCCCATGCACATGCCTGATCCATAGGCCCCATACCTGCATTCGGACTTGGTGTTGCCCAGTGGGCACACATTCCAGGCCATCGTCAGGACAGCAGCCACCACAGCGCTGCACAGTCACACAGCTGGGTACTAGTTGTTTGACCACGTTGCCCATGAGCTCCGTGCTCAGAGGCACCACCACCTCCCTGGGCTGGCATGTGGCACGAGCATAGACATCCATCCATGACACCACTGTGGGCAGACCCAGATGGAGTAAGTTCTTATCAGGTCTCCTGCAGCTCCTTTGAGGGTAACCTCTCTGACACCCTGTCACCACCACCCCAACCATCCTTTAAACCTGTCTTTCTCTGCCTTGTTTCTCAAGAAATGATTAAGCCCTCTGCCTCAGTTTCTTCCTCTGTGGAATGGCATCTCCCAAAGGAGTTGGGATCACATAAGATAAAGGATATGAAATCAGAACGTGTGCTAACCCCTCTTAGTACTGGCTGGTGTCAAGTTATTGTTAACTATTATTACCTTTCTTCTGGTGGCTGGGGCCATCAAACTGGGACACAGGGGCCTGTGGGAAAGAAGATACCTGGGCCCAAGATGCACTCTAAAAGGGCTGGCCCTGTAGCTATGTAAGGGCTCCGTCCTTGAGTCAGGATTCTGTGCGTTTCTGACATCTTTCCAGATTGTTCTGTTCCCAGGACCTCGGTTCTAATTTTTCTTGTACACTCAGCCATCTGGTACTTTCCCTGGCCCAAGACCTACCAGGCATACTCTGGGAATGGTACTAAACCCCAAGCCTTAGAGTTGGGCTTGTTTTAGGTCAGGAGTCGGGATAGTGGGAGACAAACGAGGTTCGGAGGGCACAGAGGCAGCTCCGCCCTACAACCGCCCAGGGGATGGGGTGAGTGGGGGAGTGGCCCCGGGGGCAAGGGCTAGGACTAGCGGGCCTGCTTCGAGGGGCAGCTCTTCAGGGATATTCCGGGTCTGAACAGAGGATCCCCTCGGCAGAGGTAGCGGGCGCCTCCCCACTTCCGCCAACCTTGAGAGGGCACCGCGGGCGGGCGAGCGAGCGGGATGTCGCGGACGCACGTACCTGGGTGCGGGCCAGCTGCAGCAGCGCAACAAGCAGCAGGCGACGGAGCAGGGGGCTCATGGTGCCCGCGGGGGGCGAGCGCCGGGGGCGCCCGCATCGCCCTAGCCCGGCGGCGCGGGGGGCGGCGGCAGCCAGAGCCCCATGGCGCGGGCCCGGGCGCGGGGACCCCGGGCCGGGCGCGGGGGGCGGCTCCTCCGCGGCCCCCTCCCGAGCCCTAGGCGCAGGCAGCGCAACGCAGCGCCGCAGCAGCGGCCTGAGGAACGAGACAGGCAAGCGGCCTGTAGTGGTGGTGGTGGTGGCCGGGACGGCGGGGACGGCGGGGGCGGCAGGGGGCCTGGCCGGGGCTGGCGGGCAAGAGGCTCATGTGACCTAAACACGCGCTCCCCACCGGGCCGCGGGCGGAGGCGGGGCTGGGGCGGAGCCGGTCCCCTCCAAAGGCCCCCTCCCGCCGCTGCAGGGGAAAGGGGACACACAGCCCTGGAGGCCGGGCTCCGGGGTCGCTGCCTCACGAGGGGAGGGGCGAGAAGATGTGTGACCTGAAGGACCGAATCAGACAGGAGTCTGAAAACGAGTTTATTGCACGTGTAGTCCTGAACAGGCAACAAGGAGCGGACCAATACAGGTCCCACCTAGGTAAGCCTCTCACGGGCTTGTGTCCTGGGGCATGATCCTGGGGCTTTCTGGAGGCAGGGAGGGTTCTGTCCGAGGCTGATGCCTCTGCTGGCGCTCCTGCTGAATCCTGGCTCTGTTGGCCCTGGAAGGAAAGACAGATCAGGACAGGGATCCTGGAGGGTGGTGCTGAAGCAGGAAGCAAAGTCAGGTAGAGCAGTGACAGACCTGGCCCTGGCCCGAGTGTCATTGTAGATGGCTGTGATGATCCGATCCTTTTCGTCCATGAAGCTGCGATGCACCTGCTCCAGCTTCCTGTGAGGGAATTGCAATTAACCCTGAGTCTCTGAACTCTGGTGTCCCTACACCCTTGTCCTTGACTAGGCTACAGCATATCTCACACAACTTTACATCTCTCCCTGTAACAGACACCTGTGATAAGTTGAAAAAAAAAAAAAGACACCAAGCGACCCAAGTCCCAGAGCTGGGTGGTACCCTAAGTCCCTGATTGTCCTGTGAAGGTTGGTGAAACAGCTCTGGAATCAGGGTGCCTCTCCCAGAAGATTAGAAAGGGGGCATATTTAAGTCATCTCCATTGCTAGACAGTACGCACAGTGGGCTCCATCCTTTGGGTTTCTATGCTGCAGAAAACTGGTATTACAGCATGCATGAAAGTATAGGTTGAAGCCCTGGCAGCTATCAAGGACTGTCTCTGTTACACTGCTCATGTCCTTCCTCCCTCTTTTTTTCTTTCTATACAGAGACACAGTTTAATGTAGCCGAGGCTAGCCTCAAACTCAATATATAACCAACGATGACCCTGAACTTAAAAAAAATTTGCTTGGTGGTAATGGTTCACACCTTTAATCCCAGTATTTGGGAGGTAGAGGCAGGTGGATCTCTGAGTTTGAGGCCAGCCTGGTCTACACTGGGAATTCTGGGACAGCCAGTTCTACACAAAGAAACCCTGTCTCAGAAAAAAAAAAAAAAAGTCTCGTGACATGCTAAGAGAGAACCACTGGGTCCGACCGTGCCCTCTTTGTGTGTGGTTTTGGATGGCTCCAGCCCCACCAGCAAGCAGCATCCAAAGATTAACATTTGAGCTACGAGAAACAGAGAACACTTTCAGCCCTGTGTGCAGATCTGCCTTTACCCAGAAAGGCAAGGCTCCAACTCATGATTTCACAAAGTCCTTAGCTTGGGAGAGACAAAGTATGCAGGTCATAGGCTGCTGTAGCTGCCTGGCCACAGCACACTTGACCCACCCTCTACCCAGTATCCCAGGAAGGATGGGGAGGCACCTGAAGGCGATGTAGTGCAGGCCCATGCCTGCCACCATGAGCAGGAGGCAGTACCCCAGTACCCGCTGGTTGTGTTTATGCTGCTGCTTCCTTGACTCGGGCCCCTGTGGCCTCACACTGTGGAACTGGGCCCAGTATTGTGCATTGGGGGGTTCCCAGGAGCTGCTGGAGAGCAAAAGGACAATGGAAAGCTGGGGCTCTCAGAAAGACTTGAGGGTAAGGGCAGCAGGGGTCAGGACTGCTGTACTGTACCTGTGTGTCTGTTGCGTATACCCTGGCTCGGCTGTGCTCCCTGAAGACTTTGGAGGACTGGCTGAATGCAGCTGGTGGTCATAGTTACGACGACTTTCCTCACGGCTGAGCACTCGGTATGCCTCATTCAGCTCCACAAAACGGCTATGCAGGGCTGGGTTCCCAGGATCTCGGTCAGGGTGTAGCTGGGGTGAGGCAGGGGACCCCTTATCTCATTCTCCATCTCCCTTCCTAGGACCTGTCCTGCTGATGTCCACCCATAAAGACTGACCTCACTCCCACAGACCTTACCTGGACACTGGCCCTCACTCACAGGCTTGCTGACCCCTCCCAAAGGCCATCGTCAGAAAGTACAGATTCCTCATCCCTCTCATTCAAGAAAACCAACCACATCTGTAACTCCGGTTCTAGAGAGGTGGGGACAGGAGGACCACTGAAAGTTTGAGATCAGTCTGGGCTACAATGTGAGATCTTGTCTCAAAATCAGAAAGACCCCTGGCCTTGCCTGGTCCTTTAGATCATAGCAGATACTGAGTACCTCCTATCCATGCAGGAGGAAAGAAGGTGCTACCAGCTAGAGATACAGACCTATCCCAGGAAGTCAGAGTGCCCCTGTGCCAGGCTCAGAGTTCCTCTTCCTCCCTCACCTTGAGGGCACCAATACCTCTTTTGACTTGGTGAAGAAAGCACGTTTAACCTCTTCAGCGCTGGCACCAGGATGCACTCCCAACAGTTCATAGTAATTAGTAGGGACAGACCTGTGGAGAAAAGCCCAAACCTGCAGAGGCTTAGGAGGTCAGAGAGCACCATCGCCCTGTCTGCCACCCTCCCAGAGCCACACCTTCAATTCAGCTACCAGGAACTGAAGTTAGTCCCAAGACACATCTAGCCCCAGATTGCCCTTTAGGTGTTTCAAGAATGGTCAGGTTTTCTCATTTTCAAAGTGTAGTCCTCTTCTACACCACAAACCCAAAAGGCTGCTTCTTCTTTCTTTTTTTTACAAAATAGGGTCTTACTACCCATCAGACCTGGAGCTCCCTAAGTAGACCAGACTAGCCTTAAACTCAGAGTTTGCCTTTACCTTCCAAGTTCTGGGACTGAAGGTGTGTGTGCACCACTATCCTGGCTAAAAAGCTTCTTTAAAGATCGTTTAAAATTATATTATTTTGTGTTTACGAGTGTTTGTATGTATGTGCACCATGTGCATGTCTGGTACCTCCAACAGGTCAGAGAGGGTGTTCGTAAGTTACCACATGAATGCTGGGAATCAAAGTTGGATCCTCTGTGAAAGTAGCAAGTGCTTTTACTCTCTAAGACATCCATCCCTTCAGACCTAAAAACTTCTTTAAAACTGCAGGTTTTGTGATATGAGGTGATATCCACCAGTAATCCCAGCATTTGGGAGGTGGAGACAAAGTCAGAAACTCAAGGTCCCTTGACTACAAGCAAGTTTGTGGCTAGCCTAGCCTACATGAGATCTCAGCCCCCACTCCCCTCAAATATTCCTGGCCTCTTATGCATGAGGTTTTATGTTCCAGTGCCAGTACCCAGGGAAAAGATTTCCAAGCCAGGTATGGTGGCTGTCCCTGAACTCTAGGTACTCCATTGATTGAATCTGGAGGCTTACCTGGACAACATAGTATAATTCCATCTCACAGGAAAAGGCAGATTCCCATGCCCCACTTCATTCCTCCTGACCAGCATCCAGATTCAAGCACAGAAATCTAAATCTTTGTATTCACCCTCCTCTTTCCCAGTGTATATATACACAGTGAAGCTTGACAACATACCAGAGCTATGGCAGGAGCAGACCTGAGTTTAGAGTCCTGATCTGTCACTTAACTCACTTAATCTTGGGGCTCAATTCTTACTTAACTATTGATACTGTGTCCAGCATTGAAGGCGAAGGTTGTCTGGGACAAACCTTGAAAGGTACTTGACACATAATGCTGAAACAACTATCTGAAAACGCAAGGCGGGCTCTGAAGAGAAAAACCACTGAAAACCACCGAATTTGAATATGGTCAAATTTTGGGGCTCAACTCACCGCTGTCCTGTGGCGGCTGTGAGAAGTCGGGTGGGAGGGCTACAGGGCCACAGCCGGCATAGGCGCGGGGGCAGCTGGAGCAACAGGGACGGCATGACGACGGCGGGCGGGCTGCTGAGAAAGAGAGGCCCCCAAAAGTCCATTGGGTCCCAATCGGGCCGGACTTTGGGGATTGTGGCAGAAGGAACCTGCCTCAGTTTCCCACAAAGGCAAATTCGGGGTAGGCCTCTTTACTAAGAATCAGACAAGGGGTGCCCTGGACCTTCCAGCACCACCCTCCAAGTCTAGACCACCCACTCGGCACCTGGGTACCCCTAACCCACCCAAATCGTTAGGGGGCGTGCGGAGGAGACACAGCCAAGCCCCGCCCCTGCCCCACTCACAGGCTCCTCGGTCGCCGCCATTTCCTGCGCCTGTGAAGGCCCCGCCCCTGAGCCCTCATTGCATCAAAGGACCCGCCCCCCACACGCTCATTGGCCTAGGACACCGCGGCCGCGAAGCGGAAGCATGGGACGGCAGAAAGGTACAGTGGTCAAACCGAAGAGGCGGGGGTGGAGGCAGGGCTTGACCTCCAGGAAGGCCTCCTGCTCCGCCCCATCCCTCTCAGCAGCGGAGCACGGGTCGGAGAGGTTCCTTTACCGCGCCGTGGCTCGCATTCCCCAGCAAGAGGGACACAGACACGGAGGTCTCACCATGGGGCTTCTTGTTTTGTTTCTTTTCTGCTCCTCTCACCTACCCGAGTTCTTTCAGAGGATCCCAGACTCCCAGGAAAGCAGCAGAAGCCAACAGAATACAAGAATAAAGTCTTTTATTGCCTTCAGAACTGTAGTGATAGGTTTGGGATGCTGGGAAGACTCAGGTGGGAGTTCTCAGCACCTGACTGTAGAGGTGGATGGCGATTGTAGAGGAGGATGGCGCCTTTGGCCGAGGGGCAGAGTTGTGCCCACATCTCCCTCTCCTGCAGTCTCTGTACCCTCTGTGGGAAATCAATGAGACCAGACATCAGGCCTCCCTTCTTACTGGGATTGTGCCCAGAGTTGCCAAACCTTAGTACTCCTGGACTGTCCCTGTGCCTAGTCTTTTCCCTTAGGTAGGAGCCAAGCTTTGTGCCTCTGGAAACTGGGAGACCCGGAAGTCCTCTACCTCACCTAGATATCCTTACCCCCATAACCAGACCACCTAGAAGACCTCAACTCCACACCTGTGTCTCCACAAAGATGATTCCTGTAGACTCGTGGGCCTCAGGTCCCCCACTCAGGTAATAACTCCTGACCTCCTCTGAAGTCAGGCTGCACCTAGAAAAGAACATGAAGGTGGCCTGGTGGATATCCGGATTATAGGACCCCTGCAAAACTCTGGTTGCCTTAAACCCACTCCTTCCCTACCCATCTCACCCAGGATCCTGTGCCCGAGAACCCACTCACTGGACATAGAACTCTGCACTGGCTCTGCCCGCGCTGGTCTCATTGCAAGCGATGCCCAACAACAGTGGCTGGCCCAAGGTGTGGAGCGGCAGGTTCACCTGTGGCAGGGAGTCCTACCTGTCAGGCTGACTTCTCAATAACCTGGTTGGTTGGTTTGGTTTGGTGGTTCTGTTTGTTTTTGTTGATACAGGGCCTTGTGTAGCCCAGGCTATCCTTAAACTCAGTATTTATCAAAGATAACTATGAGTTTCTGATCCTGCCTCGACCTCCTGAGTGCTGGGATTACAGGTATACATCACAGTACCTAGTTCACATGGTACAAACCCCGGGCTTGTTCATGCTAAGCCAGTGTTTCTCAACCTGTGGGTTGTGGCCCCTTTCAGTAGGGAGTCAAATAACCCCACAGGAGGTGCCTAAGACCATTGGAAAACACAGATATTTACATTGTGATGCATAACAGTAGCAAAATGACAGTTATGAAGTAGCAATGCAAATCCTACAGTTGGGGGTCACACGAGGAACTACACTAAAGGACCACAGCATTAGGAAGGTTAGACCCGCTCTGCTAGACAGTCTAGCAGCTAAGCCGAGTGTATCCCCAGTCCTCGATGGCTTGTGACCCTTCCATTTTGTTTTATTGATCAAGTGCTCCATAACACAGAACACAGGTTCTTGGTATGTTCACTTTACAGATGAGAAACGGAGCAAATTGTCCAGGGAAGTCCTTTTACCCGAGTGAAGCTGTCTTAGTAACAGACGCTTCACTCATTACTTTTTCAGCAGATAAAGACACAGACTAGACATTTTTTCATTGTTTCCACTGTGGGGAAAAAGAACCTGAGGATCACGGAATCATGGGCCTGGCTTTATCATCACACTCTTCCTCAATGCCAGCTAGGGTCATGCAGACTCACTCTGGCCCAGACCTGTGGATTTCTAGTAAATTCTACCCCCTCGCCCATAACCTCCATGCTGTCTGGGGCCCTTGTCACTCACCTCATCACAGATCTCCTGTAGGACACTGGAGAAGAGTTCCTGTACCACCAGCTCCCCAGAGAGGTCCTTGTGCTGGGGGATGCCACCAGAGCACAGGGCCTGTGAAAATTTTAGGCTCAGAGTTCATCTACGCCACGCCCCACACCACTTTTCTCTTTCTGGCCATGGAGGTGTAGGGCAAACTCAGTATGAGAGTCTTGGCAATCCCTAAACCAGGCCCACTTATTCCAAATAAGCAATCAGAAGCCTAGCTAGACAGGAGTACATGGACTGAGTAAGAAAAGACATCTCCCCTTCAGCTCTTCTCCCATAGCTTCCATAGATGTGCTCCAGCTTAGACTTATGACTGCAGGCTCAGAAATACCAAGCCGATCTTCCCTTTATGAGAAGATGAAGCCAGAACCAGGAGTGTTTGGACTCGAACCATTGTACCTAGCCAGTCATCTTACCTGAGGTTCAGGGTGCCCACCAGGCACATCCACCAGTCCAGGTGCTTCCGCTACCTGCTGAGAGCGGCGCAGAAAGACAAGGAAGTCATCAGCCGTGACCAATGCGGCACCCACCCCCAGTGGGTCTGCCAGATAGGCTTGTTTGTCACCCCAATCTGCAGCTCCCTGCTGTCGCAGCCAGGAGGCTGAGCTGGACCAGTTGGTGCCCAGGAAGTCCCGGTAGGAAGTTAGACCCAAGCGTAGGAGCAGGTGTGGCTCAGGTGAGCTGGACACCAGTGTGGCTGAGTGAAGGCGGAACTTGGGAGCATCAAAGATCCAAGGTTGAGCCTGTAGCCGGGTCTCCCAGATGGCAGTGATGGTCTTGTCTCCTCCGGGCAATGGACGACGGTCATGAGCTGGGCTTAGCTCCACTGCTACCTGCTCCTGGGACAGTCCCCCAAGAGGGCACAGAAGCAGCAGGGACACCTCGGGGTCCATAGTCTGACAGGGCAGCTCTGGCAGAGGACACAGATGGCCATCCTGTTACTCTAGGAGATGAGCTGACCCTCTCTTCCACAGAACTCCTGAGTGCTCCCCAGCCCTTTTACAGATCCCTGACTACTCATTGCGAGCATCATTCCAGCAAGAGTACTGAGCTCAGCAAGCGCCTGGAATCCTGCGGTCCCAAACCCCTAAGGCCTCTGGCAACCCTACCACTCAGCAGCACTATGTCCCCAAAACAACTCAAGACCCCTAGACCTAGGAGTCGTACCTCCAACCTGGACACGCTTGATGTACTTCTGGGTAGATCAACCTGGAAGCTTAATCTCAGGAATTCAGCGGCTGGCCCGGCCCCCAAGCGGAAGTACCCGCCCCTTTCTTTCGTGGCTTCCCATTGGCCAGTCAGTGTCCGGGCCGATCCTGCCCTCCGCAATTGAGCGCTTCAGGTCTACGCCGACCTCTTCTCCTTCGTGTCAACCCGCACGCCAGCCCGTGCACTCGGCAATCGTGCTGCGATCTGATTTCAGGGCTCGAGGTCTGGTTCGGATCCCTCGGGCCTCGAGGCTGCCAGTGTGACCTTGAGCAAGTCTCGCCTGCTGGGCTTCAGGTTCCCTTGTGTGAACTAGGGTGGGATGAACAGTGTGGTCCTTACCCTGAGCTTTTGTAAGTTTCTGGACAGAGCCACACTCCCTGCTCCCTACAAGTCTTGGTCATGAACGCCCCTGGAGGAAGGAGGCAGGAAGGTAGAAGGACTCATACATCCCGGGAACAGGTGCGCACCTTTCCAGCCTTACCCACTATGAGAGAACATGGGAGAGACCCTGAGTCTTAGCTTCTTGGTGGAGTAGACTGCAGCACCATGGGAGCTGTTCTGGCCTACCTTTGCAGTAGGACATTCAGGACTGGTTACTGAAACCCAGACTATCACTGGACTCTTTCAGGACCGAGGTGTGCAGTTGTCTAAGGCTCTGTCTTATGCCCTTCGCCACGGGGCCTTAAAGCTGGGACTTCCCATGCGAGCTGGTAAGTAAGCACGCTAGAGGCTGGGAGGGATGGTGGGAGCCCAGGGAGCAACTGGAACCTCTGTCTTCTCAACTTTAATTCTTAACACTGCTCCAAGAGGAACGCAGAATAAACAGACACACCCTCCGAGTGTACAGGAAAAACAAGGCCCAGAACCTCTTTCATACCTCCTAGAAGAGAAGCCCTGTCTAGGCTGGGCCTCATGATGTCCCTTTCAGCCAACTGGCCCAGTAAACACTTCCCAAGAATGGACAGGGGCATACTGAAGCAACTGATGTTTATTGAATGGCCACTCTGGACCATTCAATACCTAGCTATGTTACTCTCCCTGAAGCAGATATGCTAGTCTGTTTTCTTTTTGTAGTGTTTTTTTCTTTATCTTTTATGTGCATGAGTGTTTTGCCTGCACCACATACATACTTGGTTCTGTGGAGGCCAGAAGAGCATTGCATCCAATAGAGTGGGAGCTGCCACGTGAGAGCTGGGAATCCGACCCTAGGTCCTTATGACCAACAGCCAGTGCTCGTAATTGTGGCACCATCTATAAAGCACCATTTTTCATTTTTGGGACAAGATGTCATGTAGTCTAAGCTGGCCTCACCTTGAGCTCTTGATTCTTTTGCCTGCACCTCTCAGGTGCTAGGCTTATAGGCATCTACCAACATGTCCACCATGAAGCTGGTCACCGTCTCTTGTAAGTTAGATAAAATGAGTCCTGGGATAGAAACGTGTCTCCTTAGTAGAGCCCTCTCCCAGTTGGTGCAAAGCTCTGGCTTCAATCACCAACACAGAAAAAAACAAAACAAGGGCTGTGTGGTGGCGGTTCACACCTTTATTTTATTTTATCTTATTTTATTTTATTTTATTTTATTTTATTTTATTTTTTGAGACAGGGTTTCTCTGTGTAGCCCTGGCTGTCCTGGAACTCACTCTGTAGCCCTGGCTGTCCTGGAACTCACTCTGTAGACCAGGCTGGCCTCGAACTCAGAAATCCGCCTGCCTCTGCCTCCCAAGTGCTGGGATTAAAGGCGTGCGCCACCACCGCCCGGCTTTTTTGTTGTTGTTCACACCCTGTCTAGTGGGGGAAAGAAAACAAACGAACAAACAAACAATGTGAAACCCAAAAAGGAAAGCCTTCCTGAAAGTCACAGAAAGGAAGCTCATGTGATCTCCCAGGCTAGCCTTTGTTCCAGCTGCCTGGGGCTCCCTGGTGACTATAGCCCTGCCTCCTGAGCGTACCCCCCCTGGCTGCCTGTAGATGGCTTCGTGCCCCTGCAAGCCCTCCTGGAGCTGCCCCAGTTCCACAGCTTCTCAATTGAGGATGTGCAGCTTGTGGTGGAAACCAATGAAAAGCAGCGGTTTACCCTGCAACCAGGCGAGCCGAGCACTGGGCCCCTCATCAGAGCCAATCAAGGCCACTCCTTACAAGTGGGTGCCAAAGGGCAGGTGGGGAGTCAGGTGGGGCTCCAGTTCATGACAGGGGGCTCACTGATGCCCATTCACACACTTATCCACAGGTCCCTGAGTTGGAACTGATGCCCCTGGAGACACCACAAGCCCTGCCCCTGACGCTAGTCCATGGTACATTCTGGAAGCATTGGCCATCTATTCTACTGAAGGGCTTGTCACGCCAAGGAAGGACGCACATCCACTTGGCCTCAGGATTGCCTGGGGACCCTGGTGTCATCAGTGGTCAGTGTCACCATCATCTATTCTGTCCTCCCAGGTCCCCAGCAAGCTTCTTTTGTGAGCAGTCACCACATAGCCTTACATGGGGCAGCATCTCCCCACCCCACTAGAGGGCCCCAATCTAGTTGTCCCTGCAGGCATTCGTCCAAATTGTGAAGTGGCAGTGTTCATCGATGGACCCCTAGCCCTCACAGGTAAGTGTGGGCCCTGCAGGGGCTCTCCCTGTCAGAGAGGGGCACCAGTCACATCTCTAGCTCTGTGAGCAGATGGAATCTCTTTCTTCCGCTCTGCCAACGGGGTGATCCTGACTCCAGGGAATGCTGAAGGCTTCCTGCTTCCCAAGTACTTCAAGGAGGCCCTGCAGCTCCGACCTATCCGTGAGAAGCAAACCATCACCCACCTCGTGCCCTTTGCCCTCAAGCTCTTTGAAAGCTCCACACCTTAGGCAAATGTTCCTTTCTCATAGCAACTTTTGTCTCTACCTCAGGAAAGCCTCTCTCCCTGGCTGGTGATAAAGAGACAGGGTCTCAGAGTGGCCCCAAGCACAGTTCCAGACGAGGAAGAAGAAAGACCCAACAATAAAATATTTATTTATTAAAAAAACTGAAACAAACACAGAAAGAAAGTCCAGCTTCAAACCAGGATTCCTTGTTCCTTAGCTGTGTCTGGCATTCGTCATGTGCTTAGGGACTAAATATAGTCAGGGGTGTGAGCTTTTGCCAACAGGGCAAGAGGAGGGGCTCTGTGTGGCTCAGGGCCCATCATCCCTAGACTGGGTGGTGGTAGTATCTACCCCAGCGAGGGCCCTGGCCTGCCTGGTGACAAGTGAGGGTGCCCACCAGGGTACAGGCTGGGAGTGATGAGCAGTGAGTTCAGGTAGGTGTGGCCTTGGGAGGGTCCCTGGAGGTGGTGAGTGGAGCTGGGGCTGCCTTTAGAAGGCTTCATGGCCTCCTGTAAGCTGCAGGAACAGATCCTCATCCAGCTCCTCCCCTCGGGCCCGTTCTCGAGTGGACAGGAAAATGTAGCCCCCGATGTACTCGTGCACGATGCGGCAGCTAGCAGACACACAGCTGAAGGCCACATTGATGTGTTCATCAAACTCAATGGCCACCTGCAGATGGGTTGTCACAGGTTCAGTGAGCTGGAACAACAAGCAGCAGCCTCTACCCTGCCCTGGTTGGGTCTGAGCTGGCTCCCTGTCCCTGGCCTCCCTTGGGGCCTACCTGCCGTATGTCCCAGTTGACGTTCCATTGCCGCATGTTGCTGAAGCGCCAGGTCTTGACCACGTCACCCACAGCCAGGTCAATTCGGATCAAGCGGTTGTTGGCAATGCCCAGGATCTCATCTTTCCTGCTGCCCTTGAACCTGATGCCAGGGACAAAGGACGTGAGTGAGAGCTACACTGCGTATGGCCCTGGAACACACCCCACGTGTATATTGCTGCAGAGACCTCAGGGTGGGGAACAGCCTCACCTGTCTGCCCCAGGTCTGCAGCTCTGCAGCTGCTGAGCCTGAGGTGGCCAGCCACTCCACTTTTCTTAGCCTTAAGCTCCTACTTTGAAAAAATGCAATTATTCCTGGACTTATGCTAGGCAGGTATGGTACTGTAGATCTGTCACCCCAGCAAAGGGGCTGAGGCAGGAGTTCACTTCAGATCTCCATACATGGTGAAAGGCACTCTGTCTCAAAACCAGGAAGGGCAGGGACAATGCCCAAGTCCATAAAGCACCTGCCTTGTGCATATAAAGACCCATGAGTGCTTGAGATCTCTGGGGCTTCTTGGTCAGCCAGCCCACCCTACTCTATGAATTCCAGGCCAGTATGAGACCTTGTCTCCTTGTCTCAAAAACAGGGTAGACAGGCTGGGAGAGATTGTTCAGTGGATAATGGCTCTTGCCACAGATGTGTGAAAATACAGAACCCTTGCAAATCTAATACATCAATAGTGTGCTTACAGCAAAATGGGAGGCAGAGACTGGAAAGTCTGGGGCCAGCTAGCCACACGGTAGTCAGTAAGAACTCTTATCTCAAACAAGGTGGTAGGTAAAGATTGACCTAAAGGGCTATCCTCCGACCCCCACATACATGCTACAGATACACACACACAGATTTAAAATAAGAACATTAAGAAAAAATATGGGGGGGGGGCGGGAAGCACTGGAGAGATGGCTCAGCAATTAAGAACACTGGCTGTTCTTACAAAGGACCCAAGTTCAGTTCCCAGCACCCATATGGTGGCTCACAATCACCTGTAACTCCAGTTCCAGGGGACTCCAATGCCTTCTGGCCTCCAAGGGCACCATGGACACATGTGGTGCACAGACATACACACGTGTACACTCATACACAAATAAATATGAATAAAGAAAAAATAGGACCAGCAAGATGACTCAGCCCCCTTCAAGCCCAATGAGCCGAGTTTATCCCCCAAACCCACATGGCAGAAAGAGAGAACCAGTTTCCTGTAAGTTGTTCTCTGACTGCCACATGTGGACACACACAAGATAAATACATTGAATAAAACAAAGGAGCTAGGGAGATGGCTCAGCTGTTAGGAACACTTGCAGAAGACCCAGGTTTAGTTCCTAGCACCCACATGGTGGCTCATAACTCCAGTTCCAGGGGATCTGGTGCCTCTTCTGGAAGCCTCTGTGGGCACTGCATGCAGGACATATATACATACACATACACACACACATATATATATATAAATATATATATACACACACACATATATATACATATATATATATACATATATATGCAAAACATTCATACACTAAAAAGTCAAAAAACAAACACTAAAAACTAAATCGTTGTTTATTTTTGTTTGTTTTCCAAAATGATTTCTCTGTGTAGCCCTGGCTGTCCTGGAACTCACTCTGTAGACCAGGCTGGCCTCGAACTCAGAAATCCACCTGCCTCTGCCTCCCAAGTGCTGGGATTAAAGGCCTGTGCCACCATCTGCTGCCAGAACTAAATCTTAAAAAATGTAAAAAAGAAAAACAAGTTGGGCAGCCCCTGAGGAACACCTGAGGTTACCCTCAAATACACAAGTTCGTCCAAGGCGGGGTTATCAGAGTACCATTAAGCAAATAGCTCGTGTCTCCAGTGATGATTAGTGATGATTGCGCATGTCATCATTAACCAGGCCATTCATCGATCTGCAGACTCGGGAACTGGGTTCTCAGGGACCTCCCTATAACACCTTCCCATGGGAGCTGTTCTGCAGGACAGCTGGCCAAGGCCCAGAGAGGAAAGGTTCCAGAACAGAGCTGAGACAAGCCCTGGGTCTTCTGCTTGCCTGGCATGGGTTCTATCTCTTGGATATATCTATGAGAGTATACATTAGAGAATACACACAACCCCCAGGGAGAGAGATATCCGCAGAACAGGTTTGGATTGAGTGCCCGGGGCCCACTTGGTATATATACGAGCACACAGTATCTGGCAGCAAGTGAGAGCAGAGTGCTTGGCAGGACTGGAATCCTACCTGACCATCACATAGGAGATGCCGAAGTCAGGCAAGGATTGCCAGGCCTGGATGAAGCGCAGCTGGGCCTCGGTCAGTGATAGTTGGGCCACATTCTGGTGAGCTTCCAGGATCCGTGGGGTGAGCTGTAGGGCCATATTAGTAAGGGATTGACAGGGCTTCCCCTTATCCAAAGTCCCTGACTTCCCCCACCTGTGTGCCCTGCTGACTGAAGGCACAGTACCCCAGGCCTCGAACAAGAGAAAGTGGCCACTGTGGTGCCACCAAAGTGCAGATGTGACTGAATCCGGTCCTACAACGGACCTGGAACCCTTCCGGGGGAGTCTGGGTGCGGGCATGGCAGGATTGGGAAGGTGTGGATACAAGGATTCCCTAAGGGAGAGTGCTCTGTGGTCCAGGGATCAAGGGTGGCTGGGAAACGCAGCGGTCCCCATCCCCACTCCCTCAGGCACCTGCTTGGCCTTGAACTTCCGCTGGAATCGAGGAGCTACAAGGCCATAGGGGTTAAGGCCCTCGGCAGAGGCTTCAAGACCCTGAGGTTTGTTCCCTGAGCCTCCGTTGCCCCCGCCTGCCCGCTGCAGGCTGAGGAAGGCCAGAATGGCCTGCACCTCGCTGGCATAGCTGCTGTCCGCCATGGTACGGCCCTTGGAGGCCAGTCGGCAGGCAGCCATCCACTGTGCATACTGCTGTTCCTGGAGTAAGGACAGAGGGGGTTGGCGAGTAAGTGCTGGCCATATTTACTTTTACCCTGAGTGCAATTTCACTCCTACCCACTGCCCCTCTCACTCCTGATCCCCCCTTGGTCCAGCATGCTCACATCCTGGCACCTCAGGTAGATCTCACTCATGCCTTCTGGTGAGGGTACCAGGAGTTTGATGCAGAACTTCTGGCCGGAGACATTTACATCAGGGACCACCTCACAGCCTGCAAGAAAAAGGAGGTGGCTTTCTAAGAGGCGCCTGTCTGAAAGCCAGCCTCACCACCTACAGCTTCCTCAGGGTAGACAGTGCCCACCCAGGACCCCAAGGAGGAAACAGACTGAGAGCAGTTGCTACCCAAATTCCTTTACCCTTGAGGTTGAGCTGCTGGATAGGGTCCCCCGGTGCTTCATCTTGGCTCTTGTAGTAGGACAATGTGGTGTCCTTGAATACCACCCAGTGCTGACGGTAGCCCTTCAGGGTCAGCTTCCGGGGCCTGGGGAGAGCCGGAAGTTTGTGAGCCTTAGCCTCCCTGCCTTACCCCTCCTCCACTCTCACTAGGCAGGCCCTACACTTAACCGGAAGATTCGGAGATGGTCCTTGAGTTCTGGGATGGTGGTGAGGCTATCCTGGGAGAGGAGACAAGTCAGAGGGGGCCTTGGATGCCCTTTCGGACCCTGACCCCAGCCCTATTCCCAGGCCCAAGCCCCTCCTCACCAGCATGTCTGAGGGTGCTGACCCCTTCAGCTTCACCTCCAGATTGTTCAGGGCTGCATCCAGGTCATCCAGCCCCAGGTCCCCAGAGGCCAACTCCCCTACATCCCCACTCAGGGTCAGTTTGTTGATGTGGTACTAGGGACACATAGTCAGTTAGAGCTGAGTCTGAGGCCATCTGTCCCACAGAGCACCCATGAAGACTATCCTGGGGCGGGGGGAGAGAAGTCAGAGGGACTTCTTTGAAAATGGACCCACTCCATTTTCCTGGGAGGCCTTTCGACCCTGCACCCCATCAGCCCTGGGCCCCTGGCACCTGCAGGGCAGCAAACACCATCATCTCCTCCTCAGTGCAGTCGATTTCCTCTGTTAGTAAGTCCCAGCGGGCCTGCTCATACAGCTGGGTCAGCCGTACCGGGTCTGTCTGGAGCAGCAGGGGAAGGGGAGGCTCAGCTAGTCAGATGGTTCCTGTGCTGGATAGCCAAGCTCAGCCACGTGAGCAGCAGACCCCATCTCTACCCTGCCGACCTGCCTGATGCCAAGGCAGGCAGTGCAGCTCTCTATAAATGTCTACTCTACTGTGCGACAAGCCACAGGCCAGCCTCCTCCTAAGAACAGGCAAGTGAGGAGCAAGACCGCCCACCCCTGAATGAGCTGCTCAAGAGTAGAAAGAAGACAGTTCCCTCTGGGGTAGCTCATACAGGCCACAGGAAAGCACTCCAGCATTTTCTCTAGGA